ATGAAATTTAACTAAGATAAATTCTTAAAAGCATTTAAAAGATTTTCTAGTATCTAGATACCGCAAACTGGAATAATTTGTTTACTTGACATCTACTTTTCTCTTGGAATATTTAAGTTTTCCAAGATTTTTTTTTAATCAACTTTCTGTACCCTACTCTTTTCCTTCTTCGATTATATTCTTTAATAACAGAGCTAGACTCCCACTACCTTTTGTATTTCCCGCTAGTCTTTTTCGGCGTATATATTTCCTTGCATTTTGCTCAAGACCTTCACATTCATCCACTTACTCTTTCACTCGAACAGTGGTTCGTGTATACGTTGCATTACATCGACTTTGGTTAAGCAATTGGAGCGTGTATTCTTTGCAATATATCCACTTTGTCGCATTTGTTGGTTGCCAATTAAACGGCCATAAAGAACAAGGCGCTTCGTATTCGGAATAATAACAGAGGAAAAATTGCCGAAGCCAAATTTGCCTTAGTATCGGGTTTCGATACGAGTATTTGTTTTTCGATACCTACTCAGTACTTGGTTCAAAAGTATCGATTTCAAAATTACTTGGTATTGATCGAAAAGTATCGAGTATGTACCTGTATTTACTCGTATCGTTTCATCCCTAATCGAGATAGATATAGACAAATGTATATATGAATGATCAGAATGAAAAAATAAATCGACTAAGCGGTGACTGTCTGTCCGTCCGTCTGTCTGTGCACACGATCCGTCCGTCTGTACACACGATAAATCGAGCAAAAATTGCGATATCTTAACGAAACTTAGTATGTAGTACTTATTTTCAAAATTGAAAATGGGCAAAATCGGACAACAACGACCTGTACTTCCCATATAACGGCAGTTTACAGAAAAACATAAACTGCGATAAATCAGTAATTAATGAACCTCGGTAACCGCTCTTCCAGTTTCTAGCAAATTTGGCACAGTTTTTGGTGCAACATAGCAAGTGGTTGAAAAGATATAAAATTGGACAATGACCAGGCCCACATTCCATATCACGGTAATTTTGAGAAATACAAAGTCTGTGATACATCAGTAACTACAGAAACTAATTTACTCAAAAATTATGTTTACAACAACTCTTTAGCAAGACTATCGATTACAATAAATTTCTGGAAAATGGGCATAACACCGCCGACGACATACGTGTATCTCGGTAACCGTTCAATTAATTTGGACCGATCTCGGTATAATTACTGTTCTTTACACAAAAATTGAAGATGCTGAAAATGTTTGAAATCGGACTAAAATTACGCCCATTTTTCATATATTGGTTGATTTCAGAAATTTTGGGACGATTTACTCAAAGTTGATACACGCAACAATTTCTTAAAACGAAATAAAATTAGTATGAAGTTTTCGAAAATAGGCATGGTGCCGCCCATTTAAGTTTGTCTTATTAACTGAACAACTATCGAAGATGTTGCAAATAGCGATAAAACCATGTAATAGTAGTTTTAAGAAAGATGAAAAAATTTAGTATTTAGTACGCGCGCTGGGTATTTAATCTTCGGCTTCGCCCGAAATTGGATTTCTATACTTATTTTTTGCTTTTTTTTCATTTTCGTCAGCGCATCTGTTTCTAACTATTTATTTTGCAGTTAGACATAGCTCAGCGCATTGCGCGTCCTTGTCTTCACCCTTTTCTACATTGCTAGCGTTTAAATTGCAAAAGTGATTTACAATGCGCCAGTCAGCAAAGTTATTTAACAAAACTCAGCCCGCAGCAGCCAAATAAGTTTTGCGCAGCATTTTGACCAACTTTAGCGACTACTGTTTCCGCGCTAGCCAAGGAAAACAGGCGCTATGTAGAGTTGCTTCGAAAGACCTAACTTGTGGTATATACTATAGATTAGGGTGGTCCAAAAATGCAAGTGAAAAAGTAAAGTCGGAATTTTAATGCCGCCAACCCCTAGGACTGCTTTATACCGAAAAAATACTCCTAATTTTAATTTTGAAATCAAAAAATATTTCGAGGTCGCACAAAGCGCTCAAAGTTTTCCATATATTTTATATGGAAAAAACAACTTTTCATAGAAATGGTATAAAATTCTTAAAGAATCAATATTTTTTTATCGAAAATCAATTTTTATTTGACTATTTTTTCTTGGTAACTCTATTTTTTTGGGTCGCCAAAACCCCCAGAAAATGCAGTAGGGAGACCAATTTAAAGTCTTTAGTATTAAAAATTGTTAAATAAATAACTGCATATTAATATTGGGAGTCTCCTGAAGATATCCAGAGTTTTCCGATCGAAAAATATTCATTTTAATTAATTTTATACCATTTCTTCGAAAAGTCGTTTTTTCTTTATATAAAATACATGGAAAACTTTGAATGTTTTGAGCACTCCCTTAATATTTTTTATTTCAAAATAAAAATAGGGGTATACTTTTACGGTATAGAACAATCCTAGGAGATGGCGGCATTAAAATTCCGACTTTATGGTTTTTGGACCACTCTAATGTACATATACATACATACAAGTATGTATGTACATTAGACTGCATCACTCCCGATAATAATAAATAATTGGGTAAAATATTAAGATTTAAGCGAGCTGGACCGACTTGAAAATACCTCCAAAAATGGAGTTTTTATGAATAAAAATAGTTTCTTAAAGATGTTTTTTGAAAAAGACCCCTCGAATGAAAAAACGGTTTAAGCTTAAAACATTTACATAAAAATATTAAAAAAAAGTAAACAAAAATTTTGAACGGAATCGTAATGATGAGATTTTTGATGCTGTTTTTTTTTAACTTTTTTCAATGATTGGTATAAGAAAAACTTGAATAACTGAACCTAAACTCTTCCGATTTAGACTTGTGAGGTATCATTGGAAAGGTATTTTCTCACTCATTTTATTTCTTTGCTAATAAGCTCGTTCAAAAAATGAAAGAGAAAGGAGGAATGAACGAACATCATTCAAAGCTGAATAAAGATGTTTTGGTATTTGAAAAAAAAAACTAAAAAAAAAGTTGGGACACAAATGACTTTTATTTGCACATAAGTAAAAATAGTGGGAAAATACCTTTCGACCGAGATCCCATAAGTCTAAATCAGAATAGTTTTGGCCCAGTTATTTAAGTTTTTCGTAAATCAATCAACCAATTTGAAAAATTAAAAAAAAACGCCATCGAAAATCTAATTAATACGATTCCGTTGAAAAGCTTTTTAAATATTTTTATGCAGCCTAATCTGTTTTGTCATCTGAGGGGACTTTTTCAAAAAGTTCTATTTTTATTCATAAAAAACTACATTTTTGGAGGAATTTTCAAATCGGTCCAGCTCGCTTAGATCTTAATATTTTTCCAAAATATTTTGGTGGACGTCTTAAAATATAATACATTTTGTAATCCCGGCGGAAAAACCGCAACTTTTTTGGTGATGCAGTCTAATGTACACATTTATATATATGTTTATAGTGTATGTAGTAGCGTCGTAAAGTTTCCTGCAGGTGTACGTGTTTTTTTTTTTGTCGTGAATGCGTGTACGTTTGGAGGTCTAACTTTTTTGGTGGTTTAGTGCATCACTGACTGTCTGCTCTTACCTGTCGGCGTTGAAGGCAATAGAAAAATTTCTTTCCGCATTTTTGTTTATTTCCTTGTAGCTTCGCTTGGCTATTCATTCCTTTCTACATTTCAGCTTCAATGTAATTCATTTTCTTTTGTCGGCAATGCAATAATCTTATTACGGTGGATTTTTCTTGCTTCCGGTTATTAAGTAATTTAACATTTTTAACCGCAGCTGCAAACCGATCCCTTTGCTATGCACAATTTTGCTTTGAGTTTAATTTTTCCTACAAACAGCACTTAACTTCACTAAAGAAAGTTCAAAGCAAATAATTAACTCGCTGGCGAAACGCTAAACTTCTGATTCTGCGGCGCGGCCGTTCTTCTCAGAGATATTGACAAATTTTCAGTATTTCCGCTTTTTAACTTTACCTTTCTGCGGCGCCGACTACTCGACACTAAGTGCGTCTTCTCATCCTAATTTATGCGAAAAATATACAGCATCCCATTGACTCTACAATTAAAGCTTAAGTGAATGCTCACAAGAGCAAGAAATATCAAAGATTTACCGCTGTAAATGGTAAAGCATCAAAACTTAGTTGGCTCAACCGCTCACTTCTGAAACGTGGGACAGCATTTTTACTTAGTATTCACCGTCAGGATTTTANAGGCAATAGAAAAATTTCTTTCCGCATTTTTGTTTATTTCCTTGTAGCTTCGCTTGGCTATTCATTCCTTTCTACATTTCAGCTTCAATGTAATTCATTTTCTTTTGTCGGCAATGCAATAATCTTATTACGGTGGATTTTTCTTGCTTCCGGTTATTAAGTTATTTAACATTTTTAACCGCAGCTGCAAACCGATCCCTTTGCTATGCACAATTTTGCTTTGAGTTTAATTTTTCCTGCAAACAGCACTTAACTTCACTAAAGAAAGTTCAAAGCAAATAATTAACTCGCTGGCGAAACGCTAAACTTCCGATTCTGCGGCACGGCCGTTCTTCTCAGAGATATTGACAAATTTTCAGTATTTCCGCTTTTTAACTTTACCTTTCTGCGGCGCCGACTACTCGACACTAAGTGCGTCTTCTCATCCTAATTTATGCGAAAAATATACAGCATCCCATTGACTCTACAATTAAAGCTTAAGTGAATGCTCACAAGAACAAGAAATATCAAAGATTTACCGTTGTAAATGGTAAAGCATCAAAACTTAGTTGGCTCAACCGCTCACTTCTGAAACGTGGGACAGCATTTTTACTTAGTATTCACCGTCAGGATTTTTGCCTCTTTTTGATGAGTGGAGTGTGTGTAGTTTTCAATTATTTACCAAATTTTTTCAATTTTCCCTCTTTCCCGTCATGCTACTCTAAGTAATTCATTAAAACTTACCTAATTATGCACAAAAATTGAAACTTTACCTTCACTTTTTTGATTTCTCTTTTCTCTCCCTCTTTTTTAATATTTTGCAGGTTTGGCGGCATCCTTGGCGCCGTTCATATCATAAACGCAGGAAGGCTCAATGGGAAACTGATTCTAATTACTGCTCTATTGTAAGTAAACGAAAATGAGCTTAAGTTTTTATGTAGCAAAGTAGCATTTGGTAATTATATATGTATTATTTCTTAAGTAATTTGAAGAGGGCTAAAATTAGTTTGCGCGAACTTTGTAGAAGAGAGACCCTTTCCAAGGAATATTTTCGTTCGTGGATATTTTATTTTCCTTTGCGCAGCGGTAAATGCCGTTTATAAATATATTTAAAGTTTTCTAGCATTCTACTTAAATAATAATTGTCGCATCAAAGAGTGTAGAAAATATGCATAAGTGCAAAGAGAACAAAGAGGTGTTCGCAGGTTGCTTCTGGCCCGTTAGGAGTGCTTTCAATAAATGCAACATTCTTGAGGGCTGTCTTCAGCTCGCAAAAAAAATTAAAAAATTCATATAAAATGACGCATAAGAAAATAAATTTTCTTTTATAAAAATCTCTTGAATCAGTATGCAGCTCCCAAGAAAAAAATGCTTGTATATTTATTTCTTGAAGAAAATTTACAGCAACAACAAAATAATGAAAAATATTTCTTGTGTTTTTTCTTGAAAACTGCAGACAACCCTTTAAATGCAAAATTGCATCCGACGCAAAGGAATATACTGAATGAATTCCGATGAATAGCAAACTTCCCTAAATCGAGAACTATCTAAAACACACGCAATAGGTTAGGTTGGGTTAGGTTAGATTATCTGGGCTGTCACCCTCCAGCACAGGAGAAGGACACACTTGAGCATATTCATACGTAACCGGAATGACCCAGATTTATATCTGGCCAAGGACTGTCACTCCAGCAATGCTTCCCAAAAACTGTTTGGGGAATTTGTATGCTGTTACAACAACAACAACAACAACAACAACAACAACAGCAACAAGTAAAACCAATTAGTAGCCCTAATGAAATGTACAAAATCGTAGATACTAACTGAATGCAGTCCAGCCAAACATTCAAAAAATACATAGTGGACAAACGAGCGCCTACGAGCCCTATCTAAAACACACGCCCAAGGTCTTGAGGGCTTTATAGTCGGCATTGTGGGTAACGCCCCTGTGATAATCATACACACTACCCTGTGAACCTTTATTCAGATTGTCTTTTATTGTAGATTTTCTAACGGAAAGCCACCAGACCGTGATGCCGTAAAACAAAATTAAACGCAGCAACGCTGTGTGCAACCAGTACACAATATGAGGCCTCAAGCTCCATTTTTCCCTATTGCTGGTTTACAGGCGTACAAGGCAGTTATCACTTTCTTGTAGCTCATCCACATTGCGCCTTAAAGTAAGCTTTCTCTCCATAATATCGCCCAGATATCTAACTTCCTCCGAAAAATTCAGCGCAGTACCATTCGAGGAAGGAAGTTCTTGGCATCAAGTTTCATTTCCATTGAAAAAAGAAACATGGCAATTTTTGCTGGATTGACACTAAGGCCCACTTCTTTGGACCAGATTTTCACAACGCGTAAAGCACCAAGNACACTAAGGCCCACTTCTTTGGACCAGATTTTCACAACGCGTAAAGCACCTTGAACCAGGTCACATGCTAGTATGATGTGATCTCGGTTTATAAGTGGTAGATTAACTACTTCAAAAATATTCGTAACAAAAACTTCTAGCGTAGTACCTACCTAGATATTTAAAGTTGCTCAAAAGTTGGAAGCTGACAGACAACTTCCAAATCTATACCGATCAACAGCTCTTCAGCCCTCACCAACTCTTTATTGTAGCTGTGTTGTCCTAAGTAGTAGCACAGTGCGCAAAACTTTAGTGTAATGTCCTGATTAACATCTATATATGTACATATGTACTAACATACCCTCCCACAGTAGGCGGTATTTTTGCCAGGAAAGCTAACGCGGCTTTTAATATTCATAGCATCATGAAATCGGACTTAACTCATTTGGGCATTGGGTGGAATCATGGGTAATGGGCAATTATTCTCGCCAGGGAAAGGATGAAAGTGAAAAATGCGTTCAAACATCGGTTCAGGAAGCACCTAAAAATTAATATAAGTATATATAGCCAAAGTTCCGAATAATAAGGGAAGTGTATTCAATCTGTCTTCTCTGATCCTCAGTGTGTGAAATTCATCTTCTTCTTCTTTATTGGCGTTGTAACCGCTTAAGCGATGTGAAGCCAAGTCCTTCTTCATTGTCCATGCTTCCACGCCATACACCAGCACAGGCATGATTATGTATATATATATATATATATATATATATATATATATATATATATATTACAGAGTGTGATTTTTCATTCATCATTAAGTACAAATTTTGGCTGGCGGGTAGATGGGAAGTTATTTCTTAAAATTTTTACATAAGCACATAGGATAAAATTGTATTAAATATAATACGGTTTATATTGAGGAAACCGATTCAACTGTTTAAGTGGCAAAAAATTAAAAATTAATTTTCGTTTAACTTTTCTTTAACAAGGTACGTGAAATACCACCATATGACGAGGGTAGACGTCTGCTGGACTTAATGGATATGGCTGTTTTTGACTTTCTTACTGGAAACATGGACCGACATCATTATGAAACTTTCAAGTAAGTGACAATTTTTTTACAAAAACTTACAATCCTTCTGTAACCATATGGATATAGCTCAAAAATATGTTACGTGATATTTGCTTATAATCAAATATATAGCCACCATTTAAAATTTAAGCTAAGGAAATAAGGCCTCTTGGAGGTAATTACACTGTAGGGAAAATCTCAAGTTTTTAAGTGACCCAAAAAAACTTCGAGGCACGTAAACTTAATTTTGCGTCTTATGTTATGTATGGATCTGTATACCCTTCTTCCAGATCAGGTCATTTTCCCCAAGATATTTTAATTTTTATAACAAAAAATTCAAAACGGCGGATAAGTAAACCACTTTTAAATGGTCAAATGAAAATGTGTAATATTTCTTTGTGCGAAATCGGAGCAGGAAATATCGTACATGTCCGTACTCGGACATAATCCAACATGGCGTATGAGTAGCATTTTCCATAATAAAGTTTAAATTTTAATTTAAAAAATGGTATACAAATCCGTAATCTAGCACTCAAAATTAAGTTTAAGTGTGTCGGCGTTTTTATTTTTGTCATTTTAGCGTGCCTACAGTGTTATCTATGTAGGCTGCGCATATTATAAATCCGATACATCTCGCCGCCCATATGCCGGAAACATGAATGCGTAAAAGTAAAAATTTTGGGAAATCAAGTTTGAAGGTTTTTTTTACGAGACTTAACCCTTCATTTATGCAACTGAGATTGTAAAATATGTGATTTCCGTGTGCGTATGGTATTCTGGGATTTAGTATAGCATAGCAGATGCAAAGGTTAATCAAGTCAACGCAATAACTCAAAACTGGTAAATTTGCGCATTCATGTTTCTGGCATAACGGTGACGAAATGAGAGAAATATTAATCAAGCCCAATAAAATGTATGTGCTAGACTAAATACTGAACTATTAATTTTAAGTAGACGAGTCTAGGGCCGCACCTGTAGCTGAGTGGATATTCGCACTACCATTCCTTAGGAACAAGGTTCGATGCCTGGTCATACCAAAACCCCAACAAAGTTTTGAAAATGTTTTTCAAATATTTATTTATTTATATAGGCGATTCTGTGAGTGTAAATTCCAAAGTGCCTAAATTGTTTTGTCAAAATAGTATTTAAGTTGCACGTCCTTAGGAAAATTTATAATTTCATTAAGTTTTTGGACCTACGGTACAAACTTACTATTAACTTGAAAGATTTTTTGCTATATTAGCTTTGTAGTTTCATCAGAAATATTACATTTTAATAAATACGTGAATGGGTCATTTGAGAATAGTTTTTCAATTAGTTAGATATTTTTTCAAAGCTAAAATATTGCGCTTCGAATTTTATGACTTTTGCGATATTTCTTCTTTCCACTTCTTCTTCTTCCACTGCTTCTTTCTTGAAAGCAACAATTAGAAAAATAACAGATTTTTAGTGTAGTAGGCTTTTTAAATTTATTTAAATTATTCCTTTACTTTAAAGTATAATATTTCTTTTCTTCATTTATTTTATTTTATTTTGAGAATGCATATTCTGGTTAATATGTACATTCAGAATGTAAATTAAGAACTCTTAAAGTATCTATAATACAGATCTATTTATTTTTGAATTGCATCTTTCAAGTGTTTGTAAAAAGAAGAAATAACGCAAAAGTCATAGATATCAAAGGATAAGATCTCAGGTTTACTTTCAAGTTGCTTATGCACTTTTTTAAAACAAGGAATAATTCTTGAAAGAAATACATAACGAATATAGTAAATTATCATGTTTTTTGCATCTTTAGCCTTTTAGTAGTTTTTATATCAGAAACTAATTTTTGTAAAAATATTAGATAGATAGACAGTATACTTCACAACTTTCGAAAGAAGCATGACATACATCTGGTATTCCTTCGTAGCATTTCCAAAATAACATATGTATGTCACCAAAATTTTATAATATTCTTCAAAATACTACTTGTTCTTCAGAAACATATGATTTGACACTGAAATACTAAGTTATTGTCTGTCACTATGTTAGTATTTTAAATATGTACCATAATAGATTTACCAGAATGCAAATACCAGATGTCTGTTCCGAGTATTAGATCTTGGGTAAAAGGTGCCGCAGCACATTTATAATTGACTCAAAAATCGTAGTCAATCTACTACGATTGTGCTAATGCGCTAACCCTACTTTGTACAGTACGAATTAATTTAGATAATGTTAATAATACGTTGCATACCGCTAGGCTGCTTAAGGCTAAGCGTGTACCTACACTGAAAGTACACTTGTGCTCTTTTACGTAATTCCAATGACGATAGGGAAATATCGAATGAGAATAAATGCAAACATTAGACTTGAGTACCTACTAAAATAACTTATCAATGAGCTCGCTGTTGATAATTTCAACTTTTATTGCCTAGCATGTTATCATAATAATCAAATCAATTAATTCACAATTCGCGAACCAACGTGACAAGTTAAGTCTTTGCTGGCTTTTCTCGTTTTAACACGTGAATGGCATTCCAGTTAATAAAATTTATAAACTTCACGCTTTGATGCGCTTTCCCTTCGCTCGCCAGCGTTCGACTTAACCCAGCAGTTACAGAAATATTCGTCATCGGTGTTTTGTACAAGTACTTAGAAATTAAATTTGAATAACTGCACAATTTTACGCATTTTCTCTTTCTTTTGGTCTTTAAATTTATGTGCCATTAACAAGAAAACAGAAATTTCTTAATATTAGGTAAAAAACTTATCTCCCTAATCCCTCACCAAAATAAGTAAGGGCACAAAAACTAGTTGTGGTTGTATTTTCCCTTGAAACCAACCAGTTAACATGCAATCGATTTCTTCTCAGTGTGAACGGTTCGTTTGGCGTAACTCAAATGTCACAATAATTTTAATTAACTTTTAATGAGCTACACTGGTATCCCACAAAATTCTTACTTTATTCCGCCACCATCATTAAGCTCAAGCATTTGGTAGAAGTTAAAGACACTGAAGGAAAGTTTTCTGTGATTTTTCCTGAAAACTCGGCAGTGGTGTGTTTATGTGCGTGTGTGTGTGTGCTTTGCGCAATGAAACCGGGGTTTAAAAGTTCGTTTGGACTTTCTCTCAGCAACAAAATCTCGCAAAGTGTCACTGGATGGGGTGCCATCGCGTTGTGGTTTGGCTCTTGGGAACTGCCACTCGTCTTTTCACTGTTCAATTAAAATTTGTAAAAATTGCATTTCCTGATTTTTCTTTTCCACAATTTGACGCATTTTAATTGCAGTTTACTGAGCAGCTGTGTCAGTGAATTTTGTGACGTGATTTTTTGTGGATTTCTATTTATTTTTGCCAAGAGCGAGAAAATTGCATGAAGGCAGATACTCTTCCTACGAGTGTATACATACATAGTTGTCTATGAGTTTTTCGAAGCTAAGTTTAGCTTGAAAATTACCGTGTGTATGTGTGTGTGTGTGAATAGTTCAAAAGTTTTCGCTTAGTTACAGTGACAGTAAATAAATGTTTGTGGCTGCTTAAGAATGGAAATTTACGCGCCGTATTAGGAAGCTATGTTCAACAATGTGCTGCAGCAATATGCCAGTTGGTTTTACTAATTCCACGACAGGCATAAGAAAGTTAGAAGGCGAAAGTGCTGTCACATAATAGCGAAGTTGAAAAACAAAAGATTAGAGGAATATCTAAATGAAAGAAGCAAACTTTTCGGAAAATCACTTCAAATCTATTAAATAAAAAATAAGATGCTCTACTTTCCTTAATTCCCGCTGTGCAAATCAATTAAGGATTCACTGACCGCGTAGCTCTTATAAACTTTGTTCGAAATTTTGAAATTCAATTTATCAAATGTATTATCTTGTTTATCCTTTAAAAACTCATCCTTTGCAACTCATAAGTGTCAGCTAATCCATGGCTTTCATCTTGGTTCACTTATTAAATATGTATGTATGTAAATTAGGGTGGTCCAAAAATACATGCGGGAGAAAAAAGTCTAAAATGTTAAGCTCTCATCCCCTAGGACTTTTGTAAATGGAAAAAAAGAATATATGTATTTTTTGTAAAAAAAATGAGAGAACTACCTCAAGGCCCATGAAGTTTTCCACGTATTTTATATTGAGGCCTAACCGCCAAAAAGACGTATGCGATATTTTTTTCAAAATTTTATTTTTGATGCAAAAATGCATCTAGAGGCTTTAGGGAGCTCTCTGCATCAAAAAGAACACCTTGAAAGAAAATGTCGCTCACTTTTTTGCGGTTAAGGCTCGGTATGGAGAAAAAACTTTTTCGTAGGAATGGTTTAGAATTGATGTACTGTGGAACGATTTTGTTTTCAACCCAAATTTGACAAGGGATGAGGGAAAATCGTTCCACAGTACATCATACTCCTACCCTGTCGGAAACATAAACAACTAAAAAGAGGTTTAGAATTCTTGAAAGTCAATATTTTTCGATCAAAAAACTTTGTTTCTCTTAAGGAGGCTTCCAATAACAGTACCCAATTGTTTAATTAACCATTTTCTAATATAAACTATATTTTTTAAATCCCCCTCCACCAAAACCCCAAAAATGCAATAGGGGCCAAAAAAAATCGCTAATATTAAAAAATGGTGTTATTTTTGCAAGACTCTTGAAAAGAAACAGAGTTTTCAGATTGAAAAAAAAATGAATTTTCAGGAAATCGACACCATTTCAACAAAAACGTATTTGTTCCCCATATAAAATACATGAAAATCTTCATGGGCNTTGAAAAGAAACAGAGTTTTCAGATTGAAAAAAAAATGAATTTTCAGGAAGTCGACACCATTTCAACAAAAACGTATTTGTTCCCCATATAAAATACATGAAAATCTTCATGGGCAGTTCTAAATATATTTTTTTTTAACGAAAAGATATGGACATTCTGTTTTCCATTTAGAAAAATCATATAGGGCGAGAGCTTAACATTTAAATCTTTTTTTGATCCAGCCTAATGTACATAGATATTTATGTGTGTATCTCCAGGAACATATATAGAAATATGTACATAT